AGTCCCCGTTTTGAGGCGACAAACTCATTCAAATCAAAAGAATTTTTACTTCCCGAGAGTAAACTAAGGAAATATAGCAATTGAAACTATCGGACGAATAGCCACTTTTGTACTTTTTGTCTTGCATTGGTAATGGCCTGTTGCTAGTATTATCTATGTTAATCACGTCATCACAAAATTGTTTACTCATCAAATTAAGAATGAGTCCCTCCATTTTCTTGAAAATAGAGAATGCGCCCCGCAATATTTAATAATGATACAATAGTTATTGAAATTTGCGTTCCCGTGGCGCAGGATTGAAGGTGTTATTAACGCCGGTTCATATGTTCATCGAAAAAAATCGAGGAATTTTTATCCTTAAGAAAGCCCAAATGTGCTGTTTACAATTTGTCACTTACTTCACAATAACACTTAGTGATTTCGAAAAATTACACAACAAAAATGTCAATCAGTCGTACTTTCAGAGTCGTATTGCCTGCACAGCTATTACTATTTTATTTGATGTATTTGTGTAACGAATAATTAGAGCACAACTTCTTGTACCCCTATACCTAATTTCAATTGATTTGTACAACTGGTTCTCAAGATATTTAACCGTTTCCATACATTGTAGAGACCCTGTATAAAGGTTACCAGAAAACAAACATTTTTTACATTTTTTCAAAGAAGCGGAATTCATTGGACTCTACTTCAAGGGCGAGGGAAATTCTGTGGGAGTAATCTTGGACGAATTTTTTAATCATTGATAGACGTTTAACGTTCCATCCACCTACATTCTAGATTACTAAACAACTCTGGCTTTTATTCAATACCAACGCAAAGCTCTTATCTGAGCAAATTTACAAAAAACTGAAAACAAACGAGTCTGAAAAGGAACGAAACAAGGAACTCGCAAATGTTTTATTGTTTTGTCTAAAACATGCTGGTGTTGTCAGACTGTGCTTTCAGTTAGAAGTTTCCAACTTAAAGTAATTCCACTTTGTAAACACAATGTACGATCTTTTTACCACTACAATTACATGTGTTTGATGCTTTTTCCGAATAAATAACACAAAAAAGTACTGAGTAAATCCAATCTATCTAAATGCGAGGGTGTGTAATATTTCAAAACTAAGAAGATTCATTGCAGTGTGAAATAAATTGACGCAACTGTTTGCAGAAACATGAAATTGAAATAACCATACAAAACTTCAGTAAGGATAATTCAAATTACGGGAATTATCAAAAAAATAAAAAGTACAAAATAAAGTTGGCATGAAGTTTAGCATATGTTTTGAAGTTAGCACCAAACGGAATAAATTAGTAACGTACATTAAAGAATATTGAAATGACATTTGATTAATAAATTTTCAAAACATCATCAATTTTTTAGTGGATAGGTATTATATATAACGCAGACCATAACGTCCTATGTTCCTAAAATTTTAAGGAAATTAATGGGTCAGCTCCTAAAATAATTGCCTTAGTCATCCCTTGGGAAATAAAAGTAAATCTGTAAAAAGGTATTCCATAAGTTACACGAATTTATTCTGACTTTATAAATGCTGGATAAGGAAAACGATTTATTATTTATATTCTAAATGGGCATTCAAATTAGAAAGTGCATACAAGTTTAATAACTCCACTCCCATCTAACCCACTAAGCAACCCTATATTAGCCCGTGACATTATTCATCCCGACATGGTCAGACCCTAAAATTAACACCACATTAAACTCTCCACTTAACGTCATGAACACTATTAATCCAGGGCAGAATCGTTTAATTTTCATTCTGAAATGAGCTTGTAAACAAATTTCACTAACCTGCTTACAAATTCTAAGACGTCACTCTGTAAGGCAACAAAATCTGGAGACGAAGTGTCTAGACAGATCCGCCTCATTAGGAATGGCATCAGCAGTTGCCAGATGACACTAACAAATGTAAGAAGCTTGCCTGTGGTTGGAGTTGCGAGCTTTTACGATGTTAAAACGGGGACAACTGTCTACAGAACTATGTCTCGAAATTTATTCATACATATTTTAGGGTAAAAAGGGATCTCCTCGATGACGACTCCGCTTAGTTGGAACTAATTGGATTTGTCCAAAGATGAAAACATCACGAATATTCGAGAAGGACGGGTTGGCGTATTTGGGTTTCCTACTTCCCTCTTGGTTTATTATCGATGTTAACAAAGCTTTCGAACCTAAGAAATTATTTAAATTTCGTTTAGTGTTTTTTGCCAAGCACTTTCCGCAATGTATACATTTTTCGCTTTGTGAGTTTTGATTTTTGAGTGTGCAGAAACGGATTACCAAACAAATAATAACTTGTCAAAATAAGAATATTTTGACAGAACTTCCTTCGCGCCTGAAAAACAATCAAACAAACCCAGTTTCTTTGATCATCTTAGAGGGACTGAAGAGACAAATTTTGCTTAGCGTTTTACCACTTATTACACTACAACCTTAATGAACATACAGCAGACGGAAACTAAAGACAGAAATCTTCTTACTTTACAGCCTGTAAACCCCTTTCCGTTATTTTTTGTAGCTTACATTTGAAAAGTAAAAATGATAAAATAAAATTTCCCGAACTCTGCAACATCTAAAGAAAATAACTCGATACACCCAAGTATCCTTGTCTTATAAAGACTTTATAAAAATCAGACACATAAGCTCGTCTCTAACTAAAACCTAATCAAACCAAAAATCTCTGCGACGAGTCACCATCAAAGCGAACATCAAAACCTTTGCCGCTTTTACGTATTCTTGGTATAATATGAAAGCATTTATTGCAACCACACCAAACCAGACTTATTTCATAATCTATGGAATGAAATTATAACATTCTCTGAGAGTCCTAAATGTGAAACCCCGTCAGTTTAGGACGGTGTCTATAAAATTATTTTCACTTCATTGCTTGTGTACATGATTATCCTTCAATGAATTATTTTTGGTGGGTGGTTAGAATGACGTCAATTATTATTAATGGAGTGGGCAATCTTGTAAGGATAATCAACGCGTATGACACGTCTGAAAATGGCAGAAATCGATCGGGTGGCTGGCCAGGCACAAATTAACTGTCTGTGTTTATATCGACAAACATTTAATGATGTATGCACATCCGTATAAACTACCCACACGCCAATGATCTAGCGGATATTCCGTTTAATTGCATATGTTATGTTGGTGATATCAGTCGTAAATGATTAATGGTATAAATTAAATTGTTGTTATAAAGAGGGAACGCTTGATAACACTGACAGGAATAACCCTGCCCATTAATTTTAGGTTTACATGTAATTAGTGGAAGAGAGTTGTCAACATGCGCTTAAAATTAAAACAGAAAATTATCATATATTCAGATATTATTTTAATCTGTAGGTGAAAACACGTCACATTTTAATACTTATAACACTTGATTTTTCCAAATTTTATTCTTGTTAACCTCTATAGCTTACAAACAAACAGTTTACGCTTAGGAAGTAAAAATAAAATATGATTGTTCATATTTTTTTTAAGTTCTTGTAGCGTTTGTTTATCTGAACTCATCAATGTAATCATACTTTAATCACCCATACTCCGCCACGGCCTTTGATTCGAACGTATTATGTTACGCAAACACACTCTGTTAACTTGTTTATATTTCGTCTGGAGCAGTGTGCGCGGAAACCGAGTGAACAATCAAATAATTGTTTCAAATCAAAAGTATGAATGCAGTTACAAAGATCAACGCCATGCCAATTTCTAGCGAATATAAACAATACCTGTCACAATGTAGAAAATTGTGACCCACGACCATAGAGTTCACTGCACGTTCACCACTTTGTTAGTACTTTGTTTGGGACATATGGCATTAAATATTATATACGGCATGACCACAGATATACAAGTAAGTTATTAGCAAGTAAATTTAAATTTTATAGCATTTATCATCATTAGAACATGATGTTTAATGACTAATAGAAGTACTTTTAAAAACTGTACCTACGAAATTTATTCAAATTTCTGTTGAAAATTTTGAAATTTTCTGCAGTTTTATGTAGATATTGAAATCATGGAAAGCTATAATTTGGGTAGTCTTGAATCTGTAATGATACAACCATTTTGGCGGTCATACATTACATAAAATTACATTGTCATATTTTATTGCAATACTTCATAATATACACAAAAGAAAATAAACGTCTGAAGAAACTGATTAACTTCTACAAACGTATGGTTTTCGATTCAGCTGTATACATCGCTATAACTGGGTTATTTTTTTAATCATGAAAATAAATAACTTGAGAAACGAAAACCGGAAAGAGAAAAACTCTGCCTTAAACATTAAAAATACATTTTTATTAGTGGATAGGATTTCAGGGATGATCACTTTACTGTTTTATATTTTTAAGGCAGATGTTCGCAAACATGTTTTCTAAACTATATGCAAACGAAATAAGTATGGCTACTTCTCGACCTACCTTGTCATGGATGGTATATCAAAATGTTTATTTATATTTTCATAAAATTTTCATAGCATTCCACGAAATTTGCTATAAAGCGTAGTAATATTAAGCTGACCGGTAAATTAAAACATTATACAGTTTCTTTTCGTAGTGTGGTGTTTAAGCTTAAATAATAACTCCGTTGGGAAAGATATGAATTTAAATCATAAATTTATACTCTAGTCAATGTACAAGAAACTATAAAGTGAAAAGAATCCTGAGGCATTGTCAAATTATGAAAAATAAGTCACATATGCAAACTCAAAAGATCATTAAACATGAATCCAGTTTTATTTGGTACAACTGTGACAACTTTAATTGTGATAGAGCTAGTACGCAATTTGAAACATAAAAATAAAATTTATGTAAGTGTTGTACATATTTGTATAATTGTCCTATAGCGCTTAATGTTAATAATTCTAAGCAATAAAGGTAATGTAATCACTTTGAAAAGAAACTGTCTAACAAAGATCTTATTCGATAAAATCGCTGAACAATGACAAACGACAATAACCGCCAAGAATAATTACCCTCAGACCTCGAATTGAGCACTAAAACTTTAACTTTGCCTTAACTTTCTGTATAATTAATCCTGATGCTTAATATTTAGTGGATCACTTTATGACACTCAACTAAATTACTAAATATAAGTGTGAGAGAAACGGTAATATTTAATTTTCATTCATAATGTCAAGATGTTCTCTCTTATCAAAATGTTAATCCTTTTTTAAAGTCATTGAAAAGTAAATAGTCTTAAAAGAATTAATCAACTATTATTTTAAATTCATAATACGGTAACCATAATTTTATTATTAATTTATTACTACTGCTACTTCTCATTTTTTGACAGGAACTAAAGTGATTTTAATCGAAGTTGGGAAGTTTCAGCACAATCAACAAACGTTAATTAACTGACATCTCATTTTGCTTTTTATTTGTTATTAATTAATTTAAAAATCCGTTTTTAACAACATTTTTGAAACATATTTTTTATTTACTTGAAAAGTACTTATTAAAAAATCAACAATGAAATATTTGTCCAAACAAATTAAAGTAAATATTTAAATCTATTCATAAATATTTACAAATAAAACGTTTCCCATTTACTTCATAGCAAATATTATACCTACTAACATTAATATAATTACTCGTCTGTTATCTTTTGGTTAATTATAAAAACCAAAAATTGTATAAAACGAAATTTCGAACTTTTTAAATTTTGGAATCTTGCTTAAAAAATTAATTTTAGTAATTTTTGTATTTTTAAATATGGATTTTATGGAATGGTGGAAATATTTAGTGTTTTCTTGACCTTTTGCACTCAATAGAATACAGAAATGCAGGTTTATCATATACTATTTATAACAAATCGTCCCTTAACAATTACAAAGTCGTAAGTACAACATTCACGATTTGAAGATAATGACGTTTGAATGTTGGAGACCTCAAATAATTATGCATTAATTTTCTTGATTACCCAACAATGTAGCTTCCGTAAGTCGCAAAAAAATATATATTGATTTGGTGCTATATATGTTATTAAAACATTAAAGCTTTTATACAAAATAAAAATTTATGTATGCAGATACGACTTTGTTATTCTTAGTTTTGTAATTTAGTGTATTTGTTGGCAGTTACGCCTTTGTAATTGTCAGTAAATAATGCAATAGTGAACACGAACGACTTTATTTTTTATACAAAACGTAGGCTAACAAAATTATAATTTTTAATAAGTTTAATTATGATTTATTAACAATGTTTAAAAAAAAATCTTGATCTTTTTTGGGCATCCATTTAAGCATGGATTTAATGGCAGAAATTTTTTCCTTGGATAATGGCGTTGCCTTAACTGAATTCTTAGGTTTTTTTAATTTCTAATGTTCACGACTTGCCACATATCTTCCGAATTGTGGGACAACTTGAACCCAACTTCGTAAAAACATCTTGTAAACTTCAAAGCCCGTTACTTTTACAGATCTAATTACAGAAATTGCAACAACAATTAGCACTGTCAACAATTCATAACTTTTTGCTTTGACGTACAGAAGCTACTTGATAAATGTAATAAAATTTTGCAAAACAAGGTATTCTGATTGTTTAGCGTCAGTTAAATAAAGTTTACAGTTACGACTTTGTAATTCTCAGAGAAAAATCTTTTGGCAGATACGACTTTGTAATTTTTGCGTTTTAACACGTAAAATATATATTTCCAGCTGGGTATGATTTTTTTTTAATCGGTACTTTAGGACATAGTAATTTTATTATAACACTTATCTCAAAATTTTCAAATTTGTCAGTTATGACTTTGTAATTCTCGAGGCACGAAATGTACTTTAAAATTATCGGTAACCGTTGTCAACACCTAAAATGTATCTATTTATTCCCCTTAAAAGCTCACGTCGCATAACGTATTCCTTTGCCTATAATTTAATCATAAGTTCCTATTCTGAATAGTATTGCCGATTTAATACTTCAACGTCCTGAGTACATTTGCGATCTTGGTATTACTTTTGATAATAAACTAACTTTTGTTAAACATATTGACCGATTATCTGCTTCCGCTTACAAGTCACTTGGTTTTGTAATAAGAAGTACCAAGGAAATCCAAGATTTGAATGTATTGAAATTGTACTTTGCGTATGTTAGATCTCAACTTGAGTACGCCTCTATTATCTGGAATCCCATAAACCAGGTGCACATCTTGACTTTGGAGAAAGTTCAAAGGCGTTTTTTAAAATCACTGGCTTTTATTCTAGATGGTCAATACCCACCACAAGGAATCCCAAATGAACTACTGCTGACACGATTTGACATCTCAAGTTTAGACTGCGGACGAAATATTACTTCAATAATAATGTTGCACAGCATTATAAACTTCAATATCTAGTCTCCTGAGATCCTTGAGCTTATTAGTCTAAAAGTCCCCAACACTTTGCTACGGATGAACTCAATCTTCGAGATCCCTATGCCTAGGACTAATGTTATGATTTCATCCCCTCTGTTTCACATGTTGCAAAACCATAGGTCAATTGAAAATTCTTTACACATCTTTCGGTGTATAGTCTCTGATATAAAAAAATTCCCGTTTGAGTGACAATTATGGTGAAGCCATCTCAAATGAGATAACAATTATTGTTTAAAGTTGTTAAGTGCCTGCCTTAATGCAGTGGGAATCACCAAATAAATATAAACTAAGACTTTCTTGTTTTCATTTAGTATATTCAGTATCCTTGACTCTTAAATGGGTTAGCCTGTTGGTCAACGTTAAAAAATAATAATAATAACAATAATAATAATTATTTAACCAGATTGTTAAAATAAATAATTTAGGTCATTAAAATTTTATCAGTTTGTTACAATTTTGTAGAAAATATTTTCTCGGATTAAAAGTAACAATATTCCATTAAATTACTCAAAAAAAATTATTGATCAGAATTACCGTTTACTACTTTCAATCACTGATAATAATGAAACAAAGGAATATTGTCGCAAAATTTTTAAATGACGACTCATGCTACCTGTTAAAAAATGCAGTGTTCATACTAGTCAAAATTATTTTCTTAAGTTACGCAAGAATAATAAAACACATTAATTTTATTCTGTGTTCACATAATACGGAAATATAATAATAATAATTATTATTATTGGATTAAAATTTGTACACTATAGTACAGTAGATTTTGCTGTGAGAAATAATTTTTAAATTACCTACTTAATACAATTAAAACGAGTGAAGAAAATCAACTGCAGGGCCTGATTGCTTATTCACAATGATTACTAGGTATTTTAAAATAAATCTAGATATAATATTTATTTAAAAGCTGAATAAATTTACGTTTCGACATTTATGTATTTTTAAAATAGGGCTAGCCACGTTTTCTTGCACTAAAAATGCAAATAAATTTAAATAAATTTAACATTACAAGTCTACGACACCATTTCCGACCTAGCAACAGGCAACCTCAGACAAAAAAGCTCTTCGGCAGAAAAGAATCTAATTGTAACAGTTCACGAACGCACCAATTTTCTCTTAACCTTTATGCGATTTCCGCGTAATTCCCATCACATTTCTACCTAAGAATCAATTTAAAATATCTCCTTCAATTTATCTTTCGATTTATGTCAATGCCACATTTAAATTGGGTTTGGGCCCATCATACATTTTCTTCAACACCTCCATCAATATTTATACTTCCTTCTCCGACCTTAGCTGTTTGCTTTGGATTCAGGATGATTAAATTGACTCTCGGAGAATGTAAAAAATACAAGAAAGTAAACATCTTAACAAATAAAATTCATTAAATTGCTAAGAGTAAATACGTTCGATCCTAATTGCTGTAAACACGTTTTGCACGAACGAGAAAATACAGTGAAATTTGTTTTTCAGCTTCTCGGATCGAAAAAAGAATATCATTTCGTAAACCACGCGATTCCTGTCGCCAGGACCAAGAGGAGCATCCCACACATGAGAAAACTGAAGGTGGATCCGTTGGTGAGTACAAAAATTAGATATGTAGGTACATAATCTAAATTACTGGAAAGAAAAAAGTAAACATTGGAAAAACGTTATCAAGTCATTAAAGGAATAATTTAGATAGCGTTAATCTGTGGTATAATAAAGATGAAATCATGCTATAAAAGGTCACGTGTAAGCAATTATTGCGAAATGCTTCATTTGACTTCAAAAACAGGTCGTTGAAATTTTAATTAGTTTTATGATCGGTGATTTCTAACTCTGGGTAATTTGTGAGAGCGTTTATTGTTAATGTGGTAACAATCTGAGATAAAACAGTAATAATTATTTACATCTTTACAACAAATGTGTTTGTTTTTTTCCTTTCTTCAGAATTTTTTAAAAGAATATATAAAAAATGTTACTTTTCCCGAGAAGAGAAACAGTTTTCAAATTAAAAACAAAGATCACACTTTTTGATACCTCATTAATGACTAGAGAGTGAAAAGAGTTATATAAAGACAACTGTTACATGGCTACTAGCAACATAACTAAATTTATCTATGGTTTTACAGCTTTCTTTTTTTGAGAGGCAACATACCCACAACTTTAATAGAATTTAATAGAAATCCTATAAATTTTTCTTTGTCTTAAGTTCTTAGGTACTACAAACTAGATCAAAACAAACCTGAAAATCCTTCTTTCCAGAAAATTGATGAACGTACAAATATAGCAACATTTTTAAATTTCATGTAATTTAATTATCTCGTTTATGATTTATAATATCAAAATAACAAGGCAAATCAAAAAAATAGAAACCTTTAACTGAAAATGCCGTTTTAAAAATAATTATTTATTATTTGGGTTGGTACAATCAAATAAATGTTATCTTTTCAATTTGACCAAAAAATGCCCTTTTGACAAATTTGCATAAAATGCATAGTTTCCGAGGTAATGAACACCAAACTGTAGTGTACAAATTAGTCAGATTATTATAAATGTTCTCCTTACCTGATACTGGCAAAAAAAATTGGTCGAAAGTTACTTCGACAAAACTTCCTTCGCCCTTGAAGTACAGTCCAACAAATCCCGCTTTTTTTGAAAAATCATACGAAATTTTTGTTTTCTGATAACCTTTATATAGTAAAAACCAGTGATTAATTCACACCTCGAGCCCCATGCGCCGCGGGAGCGCAAATTCCAAAGCTATGCCGTCCGCAGGCATACGGACAATATGAAATATATTCAAAGCAAATAATCAACGGAAAAGAATGTATTATTATCAGTGTACATGCATAAATTCAATTGATTATGTTTATACATCGAACGAAAACATGTCACGTAGAAATTGGTTTAATTCGAATAAGTTGTCTCCTTAAAACAGAGGACTAAAATGTGTTCCCAGAGTGAAACAAAATATTTTCAATATGATTATTCTTCTTATTTGATCATAATTAAATAAATACCTGGGTATTCTCACATTTTCAAGAAAATAAGGTTCTTAATTCGATCAATAAAAAATTGGTCGAAGGCTATAAGTATAATCCGACAAATCCAGCTCTAAAAATTATACTATAAAATTTGATTAAACAATTTTCGTATTATGTAACCTCTGTAAAGTAAAAACCAGCGGCATAAATAACACCACTTGTCCTTCAGCACTAGGTTATGGCAATCTGATGCTCAAGTGTTTAAGCGAAGGAAGTATTGTAATCGAGTCCGTCGGCCGACCCGAATTTTTATTAGATTGACAATCTCCGCAAATACTGAGCCGATTGTTGTCAAATTTTGTATTTGTATACCTATAAGAATATCATGTAGATGGTAAAATGCTAACCAAAATTTTTCTAGTCATCCCCAACAATAATGTAATGACGTCACTTCAAAATTGCACATAGTAACGGGGTTTTAAATTATATGAAATAACACAGTCCTGCACATGTAGTTTATGACTCCGTATTGAGTTTTTACCCGAAACGTAAAGATTTTTGGAAAAAAAAATCAAAATTATAAAACAAGTTTTTGCAACTTAATTTTGAATCTGCAAAATCAAATGCTTTGAAATCTTGCAGATGTTTTAAAATATATTTACTTATCCGTTCCAAAAAATTGATGACGTCAGCTCAAAATTTTTGACCTATAAATCCTATCTAAATTGTACAAAATATGATGAGTATGTACTTTTAATTTATCATTTCATTTATATTTTTTGGATTTACAGGCTGACTCAAAAAAATTAATGAATGCATGAATTTATTTTATTGATTTAATCAGAAACTAATAAACCGAATGCTTTGAAAACTTGGAGATGTTTTAAAGTTATCTTAAGCACAGTAAATTTTTAGTCAAAATGTATCTGTTCATCAATCCCAAAAAATTGATGACGTCATCTATATTTGTAATGTATCATTGCATTAATATTTTTTAGATTCGCTTATACAGGGTGACTCAAAAAAATCAATGAATCAGTCAATTTATCTTATTGAATAAATCAATACTTTGAAATCTTGCAGACGTGTTAAAGTTATTGTAAGTTGGTAAATTGTTAATCCAAGCATATCTGTTTATTCCCCCCGAACAATTGATGAGTTTTTACTTGTGATTTATCATTGTATTCATATTTTTTAGTTTTGTTTAAACAGGTAGATCGAAAAAATGTATGAGTGAGTTAATATATTTTATTGATTAAATCAGGAACGGCTCACTCCATTTTCTCAGAAAATTTTGGGAATACAGTACTATTATTTTTAGTAAGTATTACACTGCACCAACCCAAGTTGACATACGTGTCGTTGTTTTTTTGCGCTGGTAATACGCTTTTCTTTTGTGCTCTGAGTAGTATTATCCATGTTGATGGCGTCGTCACAAATTTTTTATTTGTCAAATTAAAAAGGAGAATACGCACGTTTTTATGTAACAATGATAAAATAAGGATTATAATATTCAGAACATTTTGTTCGATTATGGTTTAATGAATAATTTTAGTCGAGTGTTTTGAGAAGACAAACTCATTCAAATCAAGCTAACTTCTACGTGACATTTTTTCGATGTATAAACATAAATAAACATTTGAGCGTCAAATTGCTATTACCTAGTGTTGAAGGACAATGGTTGTTAGAGATGGATTATTTTAAATTCAACATGATGAGTCATCAGAATCTGACAACGGACTGTCAGTCAGCAACGTAACATGTACACTTCAGAAAGGGGTGGTTTTTTAATTTATTTTTTTAAATCGCAATCAATAATAACACGTGGAAACATAAACTTAGGTGAACCGGTCAACACGCTAGCCCGAATGCTGATGAATCTGTTACGCACTAATCTAAACAAAAACAGGTCGCAGGTAGAAAAGTTCACTATGACAGAGAGCCCATCGGAAAATTATTATTATTAATATTATTATTTAAAATACGATCGGGCAGAGGCAGCCGCCTGTTATGCCCGCCTATAACTATTACTATGTATTGTAACTTTAATAACGAAGTGTATCAAAAAATATAAACATTAGAAATGTTGGTGACTACAATAGGAATCATAATTGGCCTTAAAATCTAGCAGAATTTGAATCTGGACCACTTCAGCAGGCAACGAATTCCATGCATCGAACACTCTATCTGTTATAAAATACTGCCTTATGGTGGAGTTGAATTTACCATTCAACAGTTTGAAATCATGACCTCTAGTCCTGGTGTCTGTATTTAAACTGAATAAATGTTGCAATAACGTCTTCTCTTACGTGTCTTTCAGCAAGCGTTGGCAGTTTCATCATGGATAGCCTGTCAAGATATCCAGGCCTATTTCGTCCAAAGGGTAATTTTGTTACTCGACGCTGGACATTTTCTAGTAAAGTTACATCTTTCTGTAACACTGGTGTCAAAACACTATTGCCAAACTCTATTATAGGTCTTACATAAGTTTTATATAATTTAACAGCTGCCGTAATATTTATTCTGTCGAATGCCTTACTCTGCAGGTACATCATCTTGTTAGCTTTTAGCTTTTTTTGTAATACGCATAACATGCTCTGACTATGAAAGATTAGACGTTACCAAAATACCTAAATCTAAATATGACTCTGATTTTTTGAGTTCCGCACCTCTCATGCAATATGTGTGCTTACAATTTTTAGAACCTAGATGTAAAATGCTACACTTGTCCCTATTTAATGGTAAACCCCATTGTTCCGACCATTTAAGAACAGCTGAGATGTCATTTGTCATACTAAGCTGATTGCAACTTTCATTATAAATTTTAAAATCGTCCGCGTACTTTGCGAAGTGAGAGTTTGTAGAGAAATTTAGGTCAGCGGTATAAACTAGAAAAAGAAGTGGACCAAGTACCGACCCTTGAGGTGCACCACTAATTACTTGAGCTGCAGCACTCAAAGCACCTTCTATTTTTACGTTAAATGAGCGATCAGTAAGAAAAGCATCAATCCAAGGAAGAAGTTTACCTTGTATTCCAAAATGTCGTAACTTATACAATAAGTACTTATCATCTAGGCACACGGTGGAGGGACTTCGAAAAATCAAAATATGCCATATCAGCACTTTTGCCCACATCAAAAGCCCGGGTCCACTCATCAAGGCAGTATAGCATATTGGTATTTATAGATTTTCCCGGCCAAAAACCATGCTGTTCGCATGGTATGATATTGCATTCCATACGAAAATTAATCGTTTTGTCGTAAACTTTTGCATTTAAAAAACCTACGTAATGACATTTAATTTATCACTTCGATCGAGAAACAAAATCGCACCCCTGGGGCGTTCTAACTGAGCACCTAAGCTGGAACGGATGTATTTAAAGAAACTCTTTAGGTTTTTATCATCTGCAATACGGTTTTATGTGATTCTTGCCTGCCTGATTTCAGAAGAGTGATGATTCGAAAACGATCGATGAGTTATATAATCAGTAGTATCTCCAGTTCTTTTAAAGTTTCGCCAAAGTGCCCGCTTCTTTCTAATTAATTTCCACATACGAAACATCACTCAAATAAATGCATATACATTCATTAGACATATGAGAAGCAAAAA